AGGACCATCAACCTATTTACTCAAAGGTTTTGAGACTTGCTCAGGCCAGAGTGCAGTGGTGTGATCTCGGCTCACTGCAAGCTCTGCCTCCCAGATTCGAGAGATTCTAGTGCCTCAGCCTCCCAAGTAGTTGCGACAACAGGCGTATGCCACCACACATGGCTACTTTTTTTTTGTATTTTTAGAAGAGATGGGGTTTCGTCATGTTGGCCAGGCTGGTCTCAAACTCCTGACCTCAGGTGATCCACCTGCCTTGGCCTCTCAAAGTGTGGCCACTGCACCTGGCCTCGTCAAGTAAAACATTTTGAAAAACAATACATATGACCTGGTGTGGTGGCTCACACTTATAATCCCAATACTCTGGGAAACTGAGGTAGGTGGACCTAAATTTTCTTTTTTTCTTTTTTTTTTGCGGGGGGGATGGAGTCTTGCTCTGTCGCCCAGGCAGGAGTGTAATAGTGCGATCTCCACTCACTGCAACCTCCACCTCCTGGGTTCAAGTGATTCTCCCAACTCAGCCTCCCTGGTAGCTGGGATTATAGGCACCCACTATCATGCCTGGCTAACTTTTTTTGTATTTTTATAGAGATGGGCTGTCATTATGTTGGCCAGGCTGGTCCTGAACTCCTGACCTCAGGTGATTCGCCCGCCTCAGCCTGCCATAGTGCTGGGATTACAGGCATGCGCCACTGTGCCCAGCCTTAGACCTAAATTTTCAATGGCAACAGGCCTCTGTCTCCAGGCTCGACCCCAACCCCAGTCCCCCAAACTGTATTGGAAAGGTGCAAAAACAGGTTACTCTTGCTGCTGAAAATATTTCAACAACTCCTCATGATGGTCAGAAGAAAAATCTAAACCCTCAGCGTACATCTCCAGCTGCATCTGCTACCACATCCCCTCAAGCAATAATCTAAACCTCTATATGCTTTCTTACAAATCAGCACGAGGCCGGCACAGTGGCCCACACCTGTAATCCCAGCACTTTGGGAGGCTGAGGTGGGAGGATCACTTGAAGCCAGGAGTTCAAGACCAGTCTAGGCAACAAAGTAAGACTGCCCCCAAACCCCATCTCTACAAAAATAAAAATACAAAATTAACTGGGTGTGGTGGCGCATGCCTGTAATCCCAGCTACTGCGGAGGCTGAGGCAGGAGAATCACCTGAACCTGGGAGGCA